GCGGCCGCGGTTGGTATTCTTTCTTTCTGTTTTTTTGGGCATTTTTGCAAAAAGGGAGAAAGAGTTTTTTTTTTTTTGAATTATTTATAAAAATAGAAATACTATGTAATACATACATTAATTTTCTATTTTTAATACAACTTGTGCATATGACTTTTAGTCTAAATTTTATACACTAGTCTAGACTCAGTTTTAATTACAGTCCTATATAAGTTACAGGATTTTTATAAAGATTAAGTCAGTTTATTCACATATCAAAACTAACAGATTTTAAGATTTTAACTGAACTTTAACAAACCTTTTATATCCTATTTATAACTAAAATATGTTAAAGATTAGTTTTAAAATTAATTAATACTTTAATAAGAAAAGGATAAATATATTTTTGAAAATAATGATCTCTAAATTTAATATTTCTTCTTTTTATTTAATAATACCTGAATGTGAACATAAAACAGTTCTTTTTCTAATTATATTATTTTTATTATATTCTACCTTTTTCTTTTTTATTTAAAATTTATAAAATTTATATATTCTTAAATTTTTATTATAAAGTTAACATAATTTACAAAAAATATCTAAGTTTATGAATTGGTTAATATTGATAATTTCTAAAATATCTTTAAATATATTTTTATTAAATTTTAATAGGATAATAATATTTTATATTTTTATACAATTATATGTAGTTATAAAAAACTTGAGTAAGAAAAAAAATATTTGTGATACAATTTATTTATTTCACATATATATATGTATATTTGATGTTATATTACTTAATCTATATATTGATTTAAGTTAAAGTTTACATCTTATCTTAGATTAAGAATGACTAGTTAAATGAGTGTATGTATTTAGATCATATAACAAATATATTTGTTATCAATGTCAAATCTCTTAACCCTTAATTTTTACATTTATTTTAGAAACAAAAAATTTTTTCAATAAAAAATTATTATTTATTACATAATATCTATTATATGACTAATTTCTTAATTTTTTAATGCTGACAAAAATAATGTTAATGCTGGCTATATCACAAAAAACTTGTACATATACCTAGAGACTGGACTTATATTCATTTAACTCAAGTTAACTTGAGTTAAATTTTTCTTGATTCAAGTCAGAATTTGAAGTTAAATCTATATAAGTCAACTTCAAATTTATGCTATATTTTATAAATAGCATGTAATTTTCTTAAACTGCATTTTATTAGTATAATATAATTAACATTTATTATATAATTATTAAATAAAAAATTTCCTTTTAATTCAATCCAAAAATATCAAAAAATTTTAGCCTGCATTATACTTTTCTGACTTGCATTATGATTTTAACTCTGAGTTTGACTAAAGTGTTTCGCAAAAAAAAAGATCATTCTCAGAATAGCTTTGGATCTCTTATCATTAATATCTTTCAGGAGAAAGAGAGTAAGAACTAAGAACATGACAAACAGGATAATAGTATAAAATCACACTTTTGGACAATTGCTTATAATGTTGCTGACAATTTAAGATAGTGTCAAATTCTTCATTACTATACTGCAGAATATTCACGCTTAAGGTCTGCTTGTTAGCATTTTGAAATCTGCTGATTGGGTCAAATAATGAAGAAATAAAATAGAGCCAAAATCCTAAATGCTGGATATAAGAATAATCAGTTATAGCTTAAGAGTTATTAACTATCATGCAAAAATATATGATTACCAGCTCATGAAAGGCAAAAAGGTCAACCAGTTTTATACAATTCTTTGATTTTATAAACTTGGTATTTCATTTATAATAGTAAAAAAGATCAGATATTTATAAACAATAGAGGAACGTGAACATGATGGAAATATTTTGACCATTTTATTAAATAACTCACTTAAATATTTTTCTAGCAAAAATATTGAAGAGTTAGTAAAGTATGTGGAAAAGCTTCTCATTATTTACACCATCTGAAATGAGATCATATAGAGATAGTCCATTTTCCTTGAACTGAATATCCTTCAGCTTCTCTTCTTCAACATGAAGAAATCTTTCTAGAATAATACTAGCTGCCATTTTATTATCATCTCTAGTAAGATCTCCCGCTATTCAATAAGATGGTAATTCCATGTTATTTTATCAATATAAAAAGAATTAAGATCTTTAAGAACTCACCTGTTGAAATATATAAGACAAGCCATCCTGAAGCCTGACAAAACTGAATAATATATGACTTTTCAGCACTAGTGGGACCTCCTATTGGCCAATAAATATTGAGTGTCCATTCAGAAAAAAAAAGATAAATAAATAGGCAACTCATGAAGAATTCTACCTTTATCAGAAATACAGCCATCACAAGCAAAGATGCAGTACATATCGCAGAAGAAGTTAAGTAAATTAATAGCACAATTTCAGATAAGGAAAGGCAAGAGATGATTATCAAGTTCAATCTCAATAAGGTCAGGATAATTTGTTTTTGTAAGCTTCTCAAAATCAATCTCCATTAGTTTACCATCTAGCACTGGATCTATTAAGCAAAAAGATTTGATTGATGTGTTCAAGCTTGTGCATTGTCTACCAATACAAATTTGATAGATAACGAAGTTAGTTATTAGGTTATTTAATGTATACACGAGTATGAAAATATAAACTTAATAGCCAGTTTTAATAGCTCAAACTAAAGACAGACTCACCAGGTCAAATTTTAGCAATTCAAAGAAAGTTCACTGTTTCTTTTGCAGATCAGACTTTTTATTCATAATGTTGACGTGTTTTACTGTTTTCTGTTTGCTTTGATAGAGTAATAAGGAATTTAAGAGATTAGATATCAGAAAATATACCATGTGACAAGTTTATACGCAGTCAAAAATTTTTTTATGTCATCCATATATCTAAGAAATCTCACACATTTTGCAACATTTTTTATCAGAAGATTCTTTAAAATAAAGCATGAAAAATATGCTACCAATCCCTAAAATATATCCTTCTTACTAGTATATCTCAAAGTAGCTATTAGAATTAAAAATTAATAAAGAAAAAAATATTAATAAAATTTTAATTATTCTTATCATAAAAAATTTTTAATCAATTAACAAAAAATATAAAATATAAAACAAATTTTAAAAAATAAGCTAACCAATCAAATTACTTTATATTTAAAATTATAATAGATAACTTGTCAGTACTTTTTCATTCAGTATCTATCAGATACTAATCTGATATATGTAATGAAAATGAAAGTACACATAATCACTGACCAAATATATTAATTTATTGTATAATTAGTGTTCTGCAAAATCAGATCAGATCGGATTTTATTCAAATCTGATCTAGTCTGATTTTCATTTTTCAGGATCTGAATCTGATCCAAATCTGACAGATCTATTAAAATCCAGATCTGATCTGTATTTGATAAATCTAATCTTAAATCCAGATCTGACAGATTAGTTTAAGTCCAAATCTGATCTGATCTAAATATGAAAGTATTATTGAAAAAATGAATTTTCAGTTCTAAAAAAGATCTGAAAATGTTTCTTTTTAATGAAAGAAATCTTTTTGACTCTAAAAGAGTTCTAAAAAGTCATTCTTTTTCATTGAAAGGAACCTTTTCAGCTTTAAAAAAGTTCTGAAAAGTCATTCCTTTTATTGAAAAAAACCTTTTTAGCTCTAAAAGAGTTCTGAAAAGTTGTTCCTTTTCATTAAAAAGAATCTTTTCAGCTCTAAAAAAGTTCTGAAAAGTCATTCCTTTTCAATAAAAGGAACTTTTCAGCTCTAAAAAAGTTCTAAAAATTTATTTTTTTTAATAAAAAGAACTTTCAGCTTTAAAAAAGTTCTAAAAATTTGTTACTTTTCAATGAAAGGAACTTTTCAGTTCTAAAAGAGATCTAAAAATTCATTTCTTTTCAATAAAAGGAAACAAATTTTTGGTTTAAAAGAAGTCTGAAAATTTGTCCTTTTTCATTAAAAAGGAACTTTTCAGCTTTAAAAAAGTTAAATTCAGATCTGACAGATCAGATCTGAATCCAATCTGAATCTAACAGATCAGATCTGAATCTGAATCTGAATCTGACGTGATCAGATTTGAATCTAAATCTAAATCTAAAGGATCAAATCTGATTTGAATCTGAATTTGATCTGTTAAATTTAGATTAGATTCAGATCGATCTAAATCTGTGCAGAACACTATATATAATAGATAGTTATATCAAAAATTTTTTATTGATAAGATTTATAAACTTTGCAGTATTCTATTTATTTTATTTAATAAATGATGTAAATAATTTTTAGAGTATATTAAATAAAGTTTTTTGAAAAGTAAAATTGAAATTATTTTTTTAAAATTGAATTAAATTTTTGAGAATATAAGATATATATAAGTTAAACAAAAAGTAAATATGAAAATAAATGAGGATTTGTATTAGAAATATTTAATAATCTTTGATATTCTAATATGATATCTTGATTTAACATGAAGGCAAATCTGTTCAGGTGGGAGATTTTAACATTATTCCATTGACTCAAATCAACATAAGCTTGATCAAGTGAGAAGATGTTACTGTTTAAAGCTAAAGATATCCTTAGTAAAGTTAAACCTTAAGTGTTGTGAACAGTTAAAGCAAAGCAATTTTGAAAGAAAATTGAGTACAATGGTAATTATTTTCATTTATTTCAAAATAATGGGTATTTTTGTAAATATTAATATCAAAAATTGAGTCTCTAATAGAATAAGCAATTTGAGCATATTCTTCAAAAAAACAGATATTAGTAATTACAGTTAACTCTTTTTACAATGAATTTTGATATAACGAATTTTACAATACAACGGATTTTCAGTATCAGACAGATTTTTAAGTATAAAAAAACCTTACTATACCGAATTTAGTAATTAAAATTTGTATTACGTTTAACGAATTAAAGTCAGAAAAATTTATATATAAAATAACTCTCTTTATAACGAATTTTCTCTATAACGAATTTTTTTTTGATACAACAAAGTTTTGCTTAAAATGAATTTTACTAGATTTATGTATATAAAATTTTGTAGTTCTTTG